ATACAGAACCTGGTATTCCTAAGCAGTCACCCATCCAGGTACTAACCAGGCTCTACATTCTTTAACTTCAGTGATCTTACAGGAACTGGTGTTTCAATGTGATGTGGCTGTAAGCCAAAAATAAATAAGGACAGAAGTACTAGAAATGACTTATTTATTTTGTTTTATAATAGTAAGAAAACTAATCTCATAAAAGTTGTTTCTATTAAATTTGAAATCAGTTTTCTTTGTCAAGGTTAGTTTAGGGTAGCAAATTTAATTAACCTGAGAGTTGTCAACCTCCTCATGCTATTTAAACTGAAACCACAAAATAATATTAACAGCCAAAATAGTATAGTTAAGAAACAAATGAAAAGATTGCTATAAAAAAAAATAAAATTCAATTGTAGTTTTTTTGTGAAAAATATTTCATAAAAATCATCACCAAAAATAATCCAATAATTTATTAATCTGTGTGTGTGTCTCTGTGTGGAGGATGTATAATAATGAAAACAAAAGTTAAGATGATGAGATAAAGTGTAAAATAGTGTTCAAAAACACGTTTCGCCACCAGAGAAAATGTGTTTTCTTTGGCTTCTTCAGTTTGATAAGAAAATAAAAAAAAAATTGTGAAGAAAGAAAATGTCTTGGGATCTCTGAGGACAAATGGGCATCATAGATCAAATTTATTGCTTGCTTCAGCTTATCTCATGATTTAGGCTTGAAGAGAGTCTGTCCATTAAAATTGGTTGTTTTATCTGTATTAGAGCTGTTTAGTATTGTTGGATTTTAAATCAAAGTCTTTCTTTTTATTACACACACACACACACACACATGTATGTATGCATGCATGCATATATCTCTCTCCACCTAGGTGTATACAAGTATTAGGGACTTTTTTGTCGTACATGCATGCAGACACATACATGCCAAAGAGACTGCACATTTTCTCTGGTGTCAAAATGCATCTTTGATAATAATTTTCCACTTTGGTTTGGTTTACAGCATATCAACCTCAATGAGTTATTTAAGACTGACAATTTTTATTGCTGGTATTTTTTTTTTTTTTCAAAAATGTATTACTGGTAATCATTTTTACAAAGTATTTCTGGTATTAAAACATTTTTACACTTTCATAGTATTTTGACCCCAGTTTGGGGGGGTTAACTATTTGCCCATAGCTTGCACCCTAACAGGTGCTACCACCCCTGACCTAGGAAAGCCAGCAATTAAGAGGTGGTTCCATCCTCCTCAAAACCTCCTCATCAGAGGCCTTGCTAGTGGACATTGACTCTCTCTCTCTCTCTCTATATATATATATATATATATATATATATATATATATATATATTGATAACAAGCAGATAATGTTTTTCTTCTGACTGAACTTCAACAATTGAGCATCAGAAATCAGACCAATGTTACTTAGAAACATAAGCTCTATAAGTTGCTATAGTCATAAAAGTAATATTATAGTGAATATTTAACAAATAAAAACAGATTTTAATTTTATTCTAAAGCATCAGTTTCATTGGTTAGGCTACCTGCACAAGTCTATTTGCACAGTCAACTACTTCATAATGCTGTTAAATATATTAATCAATGAATTGCCATACACTATGAGCTACAGGCATCAGCATCCAACCCACTTAAGACATTACAATTTTTATGCCGATATTACTTGCTATGCTAAGTTTAATACCTTTTAAGGTTATTTTTAATCTTTATAATCTTGTGCATTTTCAGTCTTGGATATATTTGACTATTTTTTTTTTCCTGGAAATTTTGAAAATAGAATAAAAGTGAAATAAAATTTAAAAATGAACATATATTAATGTTTTTCTATAGCCTTTTAATAGTAAATGCATTAATAAATGGCTACCTGAATAGTAAGTGCATTACTAAAGGGCTACCTGAATAGTAAATGCATTTATTTTTTTTTTTATATCTCTGAGAGTTAGAGTTGATTCTTTTTCTATGTGCCATATTCCTACAATCATGACTCTCCACAGCTTCCTAACATTTGTAGACCTTAGGAAAGGGAGCTGTGGAGAGCTATGATCACCTTCTGGTTATATGCAAGCTGAGGGGAAGATTATAAAAATGACAAAAAGTCAAAGAATTGCCTAAACTTTAATGTGAATGACATTACTGGAAATCCATTTGCAAACTACAACTATACATGCTTGTTAGGAATAAGTGCAAAGCTTTGGAATATGACAGATTCAAAGTGGAATATCGAAGTACTAGTGCCAACAGCATAAGAAGTCATCCCAAAGAAAGAAAGAGGAAAGGAGTGAGCGACCATTGAAATTTTTGACCTAATAACAAAGAGACAGTAGATAATGCTAGAGTATGTAAGGATAAACTAGATGATGTAAGCAGGCTAAATAGAAAATATGCAGAGACTGAAAAACTAAAGGGCAGAAATGCAGCAGGTATATACAAAACAATGAAGAAAATAGTAAGAGTGATGTTGGAGGGGGGAATAGGCTCTTTTTAAGGAAATGTATAATTCATAGGTATGAATGGAAAAAAAAAAAAAAAAAAAAAAAAAAGAGTAGTAAAATGAATACATAAAAGAATGCCATTTACACTATTTATCATGTTTGGACTGTTGTCCTCATCTTTATTGCCATATTCAAAGCATTTCAACCATTGTACACTTCAGCCTTCTTCAAATGATATACATTAAATAAAAGTGTTGGTTGAAGTAAACCAGTAAAAAAAATGTATTGTTGGTCATTCTACCTCTAAAAATGTATTGTCGGTAATTCCCTCATAGATATGCACTGTCGGTAATTCCCTCATGGATATGCACTGTCGGTAATTCCCTCATGGATATGCACTGTCGGTAATTCCCTCATGGATATGCACTGTCGGTAATTCCCTCATAGGTGGGAGACTAAAAGGTGCTACCACCCTGAGTCAGCACTGACCTGGGAACAACAGGAATTAAGACGTGGTTCCACACTCCATAAAAATTCCAGTCTCCTGCTCAGAGGCCTTGCTACTGCAACTGACAAGTTTACTAAAGTCATAAGTGGAAAACAATAGCAAAATGCTGTAAGAGCAAAGCAGATCAATTTTCATCACACTGCAAAAAATAAAATAAAAAAAATGAGGCAATCTTCAACCAATCTGTTTGATGAATCAAATAATGAACTAAGATGACTAAGATTGTAATGAATACAGCTTAAAAGAAAATCAGACTGAAAATCTTGATTTCTATGGAAAGGATGTATGAATAATCAGCAATCTGTATTTGAAACAAATGGCTTGCATGCAAATAGAAAATGAATTAAGTATAGCAAAATAGAGAAAAGCATGACAAAGGTGTGTTTTATTAGTGGATTTATTTAACCTGCACAACATGGAGATTCTAAGCAAATGAGATGATTTGGAAGGATTCATTATCAGCTTAACAACATATGCTATTCAGATGAAACTGTGTTGATAGTAGATTCAGATGGAAAATTTAAAGAACTATTAAATATGGTAATTGAGGGAAGTAAGAAGAAAGAATGCACAGTGTTGAGCAAAAAAAAAAAAAAAAAAAAGAGACAAGTAAAATGTGAATTAGACATTGGAAATATTGAAAATAAGTGCAAAAATTCAACTATAAGTGTAATAACAGACAACAGAAATTGTGTCAAATTTGAAAGTGAACATGTTTTCCAGAAACTAGGTAAGGTACTAAGGAAAAATAAAATATTAGATATAAAAGAAAGAGTTCTGGACTCCTAAGTGATATCTGTCTTACAACATGGTAGTGAAATGTAGAAAAGATATGGTTCTATTGATAAATATTGAGAATAGCAGAGACTGAGCAAGCAACACATACAAAGTTCTAAGAATAGGAACTACAAAGAAATTGTTGATAATCAAAGACAGTTGAATTTTTTTTTGGGGGGGGGAGAAAAGAAGGCTCAGAAAATTGAACACCCACAGGACACATCACAGATAAAAGAAGCAGAGGAAAGCAGCAAATAATCATTTTGAAAAGGTGTGCATATAGATGAAGGAATAAGTACTACAAAGAGAAAAGGTGTATTGCTGAAAGTAAGAAAAGATAGTAAGCTGAAAAGAGTCATGACCATCAATATTTTGAAAGAGATGATAGAGGGGGGAAAGAAGAGAAACTAAATTACTTTTAAATTTTTAGTAATGCAAAGGCAAATATAGATGATTCATACATTGATATATTTTCTATATGGATTACTAAGGTAAGCTGATAGTTTAGTGATTGTAGAAGAATCAGTTACATTAATGCTCTTAATGGAATTGGGCCAATATTTTGAGACAGTTTTCAATATTCTATTTGCCAACAAAGAATGCTGCAACTAGTAGCAATAAGAGAATTTTCTTTCTAAGAAATAAACAGTTCATTCTTTTGGTAGACATTTTGGCAATGTGATTGGCTCAGATTCAAACATACGACCAAGCTGTTACTTAAAAGAAAACTAGTCAATTATTATACAGACTGCACTGAGGCACATTTTTTTTTTTTGTTACAGAATTTTAATATAATAATGTACTTACCTCTAAAAAGTATTTATTTCGATAACTGAATGATTATATCCCCTGTCTCACAAATACAGGCTTAAGAAAATAAATAAAACATAATTAAGAATATAATTATTAAAATGTATCATATATGATATGAACATGAAAGTTGATTTACTATGTTAAGCAATAAAAAATTATTGCAAATGAATGACTAAGTGGAAAAAATTTAGTGTAATGCATTTTGTCCTCTACGAAGACTTCATTAGACTTTTCAATGCTTAGTAATCATTAGACTTTTCAATGCTTAGTAATCATTAGACTTTTCAATGCTTAGTAATCATTAGACTTTTCAATGCTTAGTAATCATTAGACTTTTAAGAATATTACTTTTCATTAGTAATCATTAGACTTTTCAATGCTTAGTAATCATTAGACTTTTCAATGCTTAGTAATCATTAGACTTTTCAATGCTTAGTAATCATTAGACTTTTCAATGCTTAGTAATCATTAGACTTTTCAATGCTTAGTAATCATTAGACTTTTCAATGCTTAGTAATCATTAGACTTTTCAATGCTTAGTAATCATTAGACTTTTCAACTAGTAATCATTAGACTTTTCAATGC